TTTTATAGTGGATTTCTTTCAGATATCTATCATCAGTAAAGATAGTGGGTGAAGGGGCAGTGGTGGTATAAAGCCCTGTGCAAATATTAAATGATTTACTAGTCGTGCTTCACTCTGAAGTTGATAGATGGTCACTGTAAAGAACAAACTCTGATTACATAGATCTATCTTCCACCTAATCTTATATCCATCTGTGCTTTCCTTCACTCCCTTGGTAGTAGCTCCAATAAGCTGCTTTAAAGTTGAGAAGCAAACAGTAATTCCAGCCCCGCCCACTTTGCATTAGCATAACGTCACGTGTAACAGGTCGCTGAATTTTCTTCCACCCTCTCTGGTGACCATGTCAGTGTTAGTCTCTTGCTGTGTGAAAAGCTCGTTTCACAGGTTTGTCACCAGCAAAGAAGAGCTTGTGCACAAATATGCCAGCAGCTGAAACCAAGCAGCACCAGCACTCAGGAATGAGAACTGACTATTAGTCCCCATAAAGTCCCTCATTAAAATATCCATCTTTACTGTGGCTTACAGCAACAGAAATGACCGTTAAAAATGGTACTGAAAAAGGTTTTTGTCTTTATAGCCAAACTCTCTATTCCTAATACAACACACACGTTAGGAAACATGTATGAAAGTTTGCATTATTTGAGACATAGCTGTATGCATCTATACACCAATGCAAAATAACTGGGCTTCCACTCCACTGTGGTTAATTGTACTACAGCACTCTAAAGTGCTCTTTATGAACCACCTGCCATAAAGGCAACAGATAGAGATGGATGCATGGGTGTTCGGCTTACTCAGTGTGCCCCTGGAACACGTTGACAGAGTGGATGGACGGGTCTCTGAAGTCCCACAGCCTGAAGGTGGTGTCCCTGGACGAGGTGACTACCAGACGCTGGGTGGGGTGTGTGCAGCAGTGGGTCAGCTCCTGGTCGTGCCCTGAAGAGACAGCAGCACACAGTGAGGAGCATACACACCTCCTTTTTTCCCTTCATGTTTATCTTTCTTTTTAAAAGCTGCCATTCTTACACTGAGGAATGTTTTCCAGTGCAGCTACACTGCACCATCTCCCGTTTAATATCTTAATTTATTCCAATTTCACAGAGAGACCTTCATTCGGCTGAACACCGCCCAGTTCAAAACTGACTGCAGCACCTTTAATGACACACAATCCCTCCCAATTTCCTGGTTTTTGTTCATCAGTCAGACAGATACAAACTCCACTGTCTGACATGACATCAGTAGGCAAGTGTAAGCACGTCCATCACAGAGGCAATCAAAAACGTTAGGAAATATTGAATGTTATAGTTTGATAAGCGAGTAGAAATAATGATTTATTTAGACATATGGTAAAATACTTTCTTGTCTGAAACTACACAAACATGGGGCCTGATACTACATTTCTACACGCCTTAGAAACACCACAGGCCTCCTCTCAGGAGCAGAGGAGGCCTGTGGCGATTTAAACCGATTACATTCTCACTGCATTCCTCTTCTGCTTTGACGTAATTGGGAGAAGATTTACGATTCCCTGCTTTTCAAAAATGGCAGATTCCAAGTTGTACAGGTCATCTGTGTTTTAAATACAAACTGAAAGAATTAAGGGCAACACAATTACATCTCTGAGATAATAAACATCTACTTTAGGGAGATGACTAAATACATGCCAATGAAATAAGATCAGCACCATAAAAGGAAGCAGAATTTCATAACTGTAGTGCAGAACAGATGATCTGAAATGTTTAAACAGTTCATTTTCAACCAGAAAGGAGAACCACAGCTTTGCTCTAACTAACCAAATCTAACAATATAACCAAAAACACTTCACAGAAGTTGGGTCAACTCAACTCAACTAATAAAATGTCATCAAGTCAACTTCAGAGGGATTGAAAGGCATATTTTTCTCAGTGTGGGCTCCACATTTTTATAATAAACACAATATTTCATATTTCAATACTTTCGTCTTCCTACCAGTGAGTGAGTGGACCAGCTCTGACGTCTCCACATCGTACAGATTGGCGGCTCGGTCCCAGGAAGCCGTCACAACCTGTTTGCCCCCAACCAGCCAATCAGCAGCGATCACCACACCCTGATGGCTGCGGAGAGTTGTAGTCGCCACACGGATGGAAGGGCAGTCGTTCGGCCCCTCCGCCTCGCCGTCGGCCTCATCTTTGTCTGAGAAGTCCACGTCGTCTTCACAGGGTGACTGCTGCTGATGTAGGAGGGAGAGGAAGAGGCGTTGACGACAGGAACACTAACAAGTTTTAAAATATTAAGGGGGAAAAGCTTACGCTGATATCAGCAACAGGCTGTGGAGTCGGCAGCTGCACCATGTATCTCCAGATGTGAGCTGTCTGATCTCCAGATGCTGTGGAGGAGGCAGAGATAAAGGGGTAAAACAGCTGCTGAGAGTCAATGAAAAACTAATAAAAAGAAATAACGCTCCATTTGTGTCCATGTTTTACTTTATGGTTAAACCCAGCAGTAAAAAGACAACAACACTTATTCTTTGAGACTTTCAGTCCTTCTGCAGAAGCCTTCTCGTGTCTGGGTTATGGTTTCTCAGATGTATGGAAACAATATTTCACTTCAGTTTTATTTTTCCAGCTGCTGCAATAAATACACGCAACACAGATTTGGCTGCTTCAGCTTTAAGTCTTAGTTATGTTGATACTGTCGATGGTTACCTGTTAGAGCCATCTGTTCAGTGGGGTGGAACTTGATGGAGTTCACTGTGGAGACACAGATATGCACTCTGTCACATGACAAACACCACTGAGGCATAGTATACCAAGTAATGTTTTTCTGACTGCCAGTTTTATGATGGCTGTTTAATCACTGTGCAATAACAATTTTAGCAGGTCACAATGCTGCAGGATCTACTCCTTTAACAGAAGAGATTATCACGTGCTGGTTCAGCAATTCCAGGGTTGGACATTTCTAACTCTACCTGATCCTTGGTGACCCATATATTTGAGGAGGCACTTTCCCGTCTCAATGCTCCACAGCATAGCAGAGTGGTCTGTTGGAAAGCACACAGGACAGTCTGAGTTTTTATTTATTAACAATTGTCCATCACGCTTTAGTTTAGGTCTCAGCTTGAAAAGAAAAAAAAAGATCTTAAACATGTTTAAATATGTTGACATTGTAAACAACAGAAGGAAAGATAAAGACACATGAACCTCTGAGTTTGAAGACAGAAGATGAAGCTAGAGACAAAACCACCGCCACAGAAATGAAGAAAAAATAAGACTGTATGACGTAAATAAAGTACGAGAGCATAAAAGAAAATACCTGCAGACGCTGTCCCGAGCACCACAGGTTGGGTCCTGGTGACGCTGAGGTCCCAGATGCCGTCCCTGTGACCCACATACTCTTTGACCAGCTGGCACACCGCTCTGGACGTGGTCGCTTTGAAACTGGACACAATCTGATGGTAACATCAAGCCAATGTTAACACGGACCAGGAAATCCCAGATAATCCCAGATGTGTCCCTAACAGGATTCCTACACACCTCACCTTCTCAACCCCTCCCCCCCCAACCCAAACATTCCAGGATCCATAATGTCACTAGAGGTGACTGAGGGGTCTTACATAAAAATATGTAAGAAATGTCTTTAAGTCTTTTCCGAATTGGTCAAATCTTTCAACACACCCAGTGTGAGGCCCCAGACAAATGTAAAACTAACAATGGAAATAATAAAAACTAAACAATCAACTGAACTGAAATGTGTAAACTCGCTCTGGAAACTAGCTGAAACTAAATTAAAAACTAAATAAATAACTGATAATTCTGTTATTACAAACCAAATCCCTGACCCCACTGTCTCTCCTGACACTTGCCATCTTTCTCTGGGCCCCTCTTTGGCATTTTGGTTTGTTTGTTTTTTATTCTTTAAAGGGGATAAAAGTTTTAAGATGTTACTAAATCTAAAGTTCAATTTGATCACAGATTTTATTGTTAAGCCATCAGTTTCTCGAGCTGTGTAGGAACCCTGGTCTGATGGAGGGAGGGAGGAAGCAGGTCAGCAGGACTGAGGATCACTGAGGAGCTGCTCAGCAGGGTCCTTATAGTATGCCAGTGCTAATTAGCTTTGGTGAACAGCAGTGTTATTCACTGGGTTCAAGAGCTTTTACCAAAATATCTTTGTTGCCGTTTCTTTTAAAGCTCCTGAAGTATCAGACTGGCAATCGCACACTCAGACGAGCTTTAAAACAAACTACCAGACAAACCCAGATGAAAGCATTCGCATTACTCATACGGTATCAGTACTGCGGATCACTAAAACTAAAAAAGAGGGAGGAAAAAAGAAAACAAAGCGGCCAAAGTTATGGTTAGACACGAAACCGAGGAGTAGTTTTTGTCATCTGTATCAAGATTTTGTTGAGACGTTTACATTAAAGATGGGGATGATACAAACAGGACTTCTGGATCGTTTTGGGCACAGACCACTAAATAAGTTCCAACTGAAACAAAGTAGGAGAACATCAAGACAGAAATCAATCATCTGATACACGAATCAAGAGAAACATTAAACAAAATCTGAAGGATTGAAGACAACAAATGATAGTCAAACGGATGACAGGGTGTGAACCAGCGGTTGTGATTGTTAGCAAGCAGAGCAGTACGTTCTCGTGTACAAAAATAAATAAATAATATGAAGCAAGTAATTTCTTATGTCTTCTGTTATAACACTGGGAATGATATTAATCCATAACTTGTGCACCTGTAACATCAACGCACCATGTTACATTTAAAAAAGCAGCAACAGGGACGTTTGGGGAGGTTTAAGGAAATGCGAAGCGCTGCAGAAGAATTATGGAGCAGTGACTCTCTACAGTTTGTAGTGTCAGAGTGCAGGCTGCCACAGCCACAGTGAGATTTTGCTTTTCTTAGTAAAATAATCAGTTAAAAATGTGAATTTTTTATTCAATATATCACTCCACGGTATGAATAACAGCTGGTCTTCTGTTCGGGGTCCCCCACTCGGCTGCTGGTTTCAGGCTGCTCTGCATAAATATCATTCTGGCCACCAAAGTCCTCAAACTCACAAAGAGGAGCAAACATCAACTTTCTGATGAAGGATCATCAGCAGTGATGAGAGCTGGACATGCAGCTACAGCTGAGCAGTTTTCAACAGAAGAGTCCCCATTTTCTATGTATTAGAAAATAGTATTTTCTAATACATAGTATTTTGACTACTCCCACTTGGGGATCTTAAATTAAATAAATAAATAAAACAGCTATGGTAAGGCTTTTGAGTTTTAGAGTCCCATGCCCTAAAAACTGTGATCATACCTCATGTTTTTACCAGGAAAATGAGTCGTTCTGTCTGGGTTGTTACTTTAATTGAGGAAGTTCAAGTAACTCGGGATTCCTACGGCCAAGTTTTAAAACAAATATGAAGATATGTTTGGGTTTTCTGTCATTTTAAGTCACCCAAATATTTAAAGTCACCATTAATACTGACAGTTAAAAAGTAATCCAAGTAAAAACTCTAAACGTTTTTGTTTAAAAAAGCAAAATCTGTTATAGGCAAAGACTTTTGAGCAGGCCACACACGTGACTCTGCCAGCAATGATCTACAGCAGCCAGGAAATGCTCCTCAAAAAGCATTTTGAAGCTGGTCCGTGTTAAAGATGCCTCCAGAGTGTACCATTATGTGAATGCCGACGGTAGCGGCATAAAACGAAATAAAAAGGTGCAACTGAAAAGGCCCGTTAGGGAGATGATAAAGAGCTGGTTTATCTCACGCAGGTAATGAGAGAAAAGCTCAAAAGCCTACATTTGGATGACCAAGTCTCTTGGGGAGGGAGGTTCGCCCCCCTGGCTGGGCTGTTCATGCATATTGGCACACAAGGGGAAGAAATCAACAAGTTACCCATGAGTCTCCACCCCACAACTCCCAGCTGGTTACGCTGAAGTTGCGGGATCCACCTACTCTGGCATGGCAAGAATTTGAACGCGGCTACAAGCAAAAAAGTGAAAAAAGAAAGCAAAGCAATTCTTTTCTTTAACATTCAAAAGTCATGTGAGCTCACACGGACAAAGCGGAAACAGGCGCTAAATAAACCTCCTCAAATTTTTGTCTTTACTGACCGCAAAACAAGTGACACTGAACATTTTTACTGCGTTGTTTTCTTTATATAATTGAGATGGACAAAATAATATTAAAAATAGACTAAGGGTGCTCTTCATGATGCCAACGAGCTTCGTCTCTCCTCCCATGGCTCAGAAATGATGCATCTATACTGAAGTCTTGTTTTTTTGTTTGTTTGTTTTTTAAATTGAGGTGACGTATACGAGCTGCACCTCTACACGGCACAGTTTACTCTCACTGTGCTTCCTTTGTTGTGCTGTGAGTAAGAATCAACAGATAATAGAACATTTACATGGTAAATGTATGATATAAATAATGTGCCATCACACATAATGTGTGATAAACCTGAAATAAAGAAATAATTTTATGGCAAAATGTGGAATCATCACACAAAGTAGCTGTTTATTTTACCACTGACATGCTTACACAGCCACACCGTTTATTACTCTTCAGGTTATAATAATGAAGGTAAATAAACAGCCGAGAACTTATAAGAAGAAGACACTTGTACATAAATTGGAAGGTTTAAAAGGAATATTCAATATAGATTAAAACAAACAGTATTACTACTGCTAATAATAATAATAATAATCAGCTATTTTTGTCAGTTCAAGTATTTAATAAGTAACTACCTTTTATCTGAGTTCTGGGGTCATTTATATCAGTTATTTTGAGCCACAGTTGGAGGAAATGAGGAAACACGTTAGTATAATGAAAAGCACCCAAAGGCTCACAAAAACTGAACTTCAGATCTTTTGTGAAGGAAGGATTTACAGAAACTGTTTAATAAGCAATAATTACAGAAAATTTCCAAAACCTTACAAACTGGTAACTTATAATATCAGATACATAAAACAATTTAATTTACAAACATTTTCGATTTACCTTGCTCGTTGAGGCCTTGTAGGTCGTCTTCAGCTTTTGAGAGAGCTGGCTGGTGCTGTGGCTCGCTGTGAATTTCATACAAAAACAAAAAGAAGTCAGAGAAATCAAAGGTCAGAGGATTAAAACAAACAAAAAAAAGATGAGTAATATATCTATGCTACCTATAACATAACTGTACATGAATCTCACCTTTTGTTTTAAGTGCTCCTTTTGCTAAATCCGCCCCTTCAAATGTTTGTCCCTCTGCAGCCAAGCGATCATTCAGTGTTTCAATCTCTCTGCGTACTGAAAGTCAAACATGTCGCACATTAAAAGACATCTGAATGTGTCGTTTTATTCACCACAGCAGGGTTAGCAAGTTACTCTCCATTGCTGAGTAGCAGCTTTCTGCTTACTGGCCACAGAGACTGATAAATTCATTTTATTTTGTAGGAATTTATCTTTTTTTTCATGCATCTCAATAAAAAAAAAAAAAAAAAAAGTTAAATGCATTGAATAAAATTAAGAAATGCAAACTGCTTTCGTTTTTGTGTTGGGTCTCTTGCTGCACAGTGAATTATTACAAAAGCTAGAGCAATCACTTCTGCTTTCATGGGAACTTACATTCGAGGTTTTCTATGTAGAGGTTTTCAAACTCCCTCTCGATCTGACTGAACAGGTCCAGCAGATTGCTCCTCAGAGACAGAGGCAGCTTGGAGTCCTGGAGAGGGTGGGAAAAAGGAGAGCATTAAAAAAACGTGGAAATATGAGGGATTATCCAAAGAAGCTGATCTGGTCACTTGGCCACCTTACTGATGTGCCTCTGCCCACTTATTTTGAAGGATTAACTAAATTATATCTAACTTAATTTCACTGACTAGGGCAAACAAACTGCTTCCTCTGGATGTTTTCAGTGGGAGGAAGATTTCATTACCCTGAATAGAATCGACTTTGTGCCATTTTCTAACCTGGATCATTGAGCATGCATCAGGACTGACTGTGAAACATGGCAAAAAATGCTTCAGACATTTGCTGGCGCTGCCCAAAAATAAGGCATTACAAAGACGTTTTCCCTAGGAAGGTAAACTTCTACCATCCTGTTGCAGAGTTCTCCCATAGATTTCAATCCAGTCTCTGAGCACGAAAACAACATTACAGAGTGAGAAAGCCTGCAGAACAAGCAGGCTATATATCTGGTACCAACAGCACAAATTTACTGCAACAAAGCACAGGAACAGCCTCTTATCACACCATAAACCTGGAGGAAGGAAATAATCGTGAACTCAGGCTCGGGCAGGAAAGAAGGAAAGAATTAGTAAAATCATCCATAAAAGTGAAAGAAACAGTCAGATGGTTACAGAGCACTGGGGAGGTCTTGGTGCCTTACAGGTCTGAATGTGTTTTTATAGGGCAAACAAACAGGCGTTGACAAATTTATACCATTCTGCAAGACTACTGCTGCTATAAAAGGAAACTCTAGACAGAATTTCTCTTTATCCCATTTTACAATGTGCTTTAAACTTCCTTAAATAATCTATAATGTGTTGTAATGGACTGATATACAAATAAAAATAAATACACAATATCTGACTTTTTTTTTTTTTAAAGAATGTCATGGGTTAAACTGATATTTAGACGATTTTAAAAAATGTCCATCAATGGGACATTAATCACTGCAGTTTAGGTTAAGAGTCATTTGATAACTGCAGCTTTCAAGTTTCTTTAAATTACATGAAAAGCACAAAAGATTTAACAGAAAAAACCCAAAAGACAAAAAAAAAAAAAAAAAAAAAAAAGGTAAGCGTGCACAAATTCAGACAACATTTTTTAGGGGTTATTCCCAAAGGCAACATAATGTGATGGGAAAGTCTGCACAGTAACTGCCTCTGATTAAAAAATAAATAAATAAATCCATCCTCCCTCTTCACCCCTTATCCAGCTCAGAGGTCAGGTCACCAAGCAAGACCAACACAGAGGCAGACAACTGTTCATGCTTTAGAAGCTCTAATAAACTAAACTCGACAATAAGTAAAAAACAAATACCCAAGGACAAAAACTATGATGAAATATATGACACCTGAGGGTGTGCTCACGTCAGGCATTCCACACTGCGCCTGAGCATGCCTGCAAAAACAGCATAGTTGGACGCATGTAGCATGACTGGTGATGAACTCTACCCTAACGACAGCCAGCTCTGTGAACATCGCTTTGTTAATTAACACATGTACAGAGAAGGCAAAAGTCATCACCTCCAAAGATGATGACCACAAAAATGTATAAAAAGATTAACCTTGTCATAGTCTGTAGGAGCACTTTACAAGAGAAGAGTATGTGAGAGGAGAGGGTACATCCTCAAACAACTGTTAAAAAAGTCATTTAAAATAATAAAAAACAAACAAACATAAAAAGCACTGACAAAATGTCCAGTGCTTTAAAAATCAAGTGTTATAAGTCAGATTTGAATCCACCTGAGAAGGCTTTTTCACAGCGAGTAAACAGTTTTGTGTCGCTTTCCGTCTGTAGTTGAGTCAGCAGCTTCGACACAAGCACGGAGTGGAAGAGATCTCCAAGCTTTGGCCAGTCACGATGAAACGGGTCAGTGTGTGGAAATCTCTTCGTTGTGTACTCTGCACAAAGCATGCCTTCTTTCTTTGACTGCCTTTGTGCTCGCAGCTACTTACATAGAAATCGGTCGTGGGTCAGCATTCAAAGGCTAAAGGGTTTGTGCTACATTTGAGATAATGACATGAAAAAAAGAAAAGAGGGCTGACTACGACACAATGCTGCATGATGATACATGTACTGCTGCGTGAAGCCACAAGTCTACAGACTAGAGCACACTGAGGTATGAGATCTCAAAGTCCAAAACGACTGAAAATCTTTGCCTAAAATGAATCAAATGAGGGCAAAATGCAAAACAATCTTATGTTTTTAATTAGTCTTATGCTCAAAAGACAAATTCCTTTATATTAATCCTTATTACCGGTGTGGAGAACATTTTACGCACATGTGAGAAGTCAGAATATGTTTACATATATGAGCCTTGATCCCACAGGATTCAACATAACCAGCGGGTCCAATGTTGGGTAAATACACTGGCCAGGTGCTGGAGAGTGACATGTTTCCAACAGACAAGTTCAGCCAGGAACCGACTGAAATGAAACATAACTAATGACTATTATTTTTCTGTTTTCACATGAGTAAACAGATGTTCAAATAAAAGCTTTACATTTGGTGAATTTCTTGTAACCTTTGTTGCAAGTTGACAGCGATACCCACAAATGCAGGGAGAGTCTAAAGAGGCATGATACAGATTTTGAATACAACCAAAATCCACTGATACATTAGGCTATTTCCTTACAGACTCGGGATTAGTATATAAAGAAAGTGATGTAAGATTCAAACACCTGCCGATTCTTCACATCAGTAGAAACATATGCAAGATTGAAGTCACATCCTTCATGTGCATCATTATTTACATAGAGCAGCACTATTGTGATTTGCATAAGAACAACTTTTCCACCTCAAGTTCACAGAGCTGAAAACATCCCATCTTCTCTCAAAGACATACTAAACAGGTCACAAACACTGATTTATTTGTAACTGCAAAATGTAGATATTATTTAAATAAACACAAAAGAAAACATCCTGTAATCTAGAAATAGTCACATTTTTTAAGGAGACTAGAAGTGCAGCAACGACCACACCTCACCTCCACCTATTACTAATCAAGCCTAAACTACACCAAACGTATACAACTAATGCTAAAGCTCTACAAACTATGAGGGAAGTTACACTATTATCTGAAACACAGAGGGCGAAACACCTGAAACTTACCTCCATTCTCATGAAGGATTCCAGATTATCAGAGGACTGAGACCAAAAGGGACCAGAGTGAGAAAACAAAAAGTCATGAGGAAGGGATTACACCACGTCTGGTTAGAAACAGGCGCTTTCAGCAGGTTTAAATCTGCAACAGATTTAAACCTCTTTTCACTGCATGATCACAAGTTCAGCTTCCACATTCAGGGAGTTTTAGATTTGCAATTTAAGAAATTTGCACCATTTCTTCTTCTTAAGGTTATGAACCTTTCTTGCAGCAGGAAAAGCACGGATGCTGCTGACAACATTATCAATGTTACCGCTACGCTCAGGTGTCTCAGTAAACTAGAGCTGCTGAATGGTCATAAAGTGATAAAGACCTCCATCTGTGCTTTTCCTACTGTGACATGTGAAAAGGACCAACATACAAATGCAAAAATAAAACAATAAATTACCTTAACTCAAGAAACAAACGCACATTGATTTTGATTCTTGGACTCTACTAACATAGATCAAAAATAATCCTTTTTTTTGTTCACTATCAGTTTTGATTATGTTTTTCTAGTTTCCTTTCTGCTCCCTTTAAGGGAACTTTCTTCTGATTAGCTGTCTCTTACAAATAAAAGGTTTGAACAGCAGGTGCTCAGAGACAGAGCTGTGCGCCTGAGACAATCATATTCATCATGTGCCACATCACTGACATCATACAGAGCCAAGAGTAAAAAAAAAACCTGTCTGAAGCAGGCTGCCTGAGCGTTTGGCCCACGGGGAGTACAATGTTTTACAACCATCAGCTGCAACTTTATATCCACCAGTAAGACAATCATGTATTGACCAAGCATTAACAAACAAGCAATAATAAAGTAATAATAAACCTGGTTATTAAAAAGTTTTACTGAATTTCTTCATATAAAAACACAAAGACACTAAAGTTAATTAGGAAAAAATCCTGCCAACCTAAATGAAACACAGGTCTGAATATCTATTAAGTCTACATGGCAGAGTGTGTTCAACACAGTCAGTCAAGACTGAAACCCAAAACCACATGTATGGGCTGAGCCAACAATGCCCTCACGTATTAAGGCTCACATGAGGACAACATTAATCCACGTGAAGCAGCAAACCCTGCTTTACAGATGCAGCTCAGCACTTTGTCAGACCCGAACAAACGATCCTGATATTTTTATTTGAAGGTGCTGGACAGTATGTTAAAGCCAAATGCTAAAATGCCTCCCTGGCAAATAAATGACATGCACTGATCCTTTAAGAAACTGCAATAAAAAGGTGCTTCAGTGATTTTTGTAAGTGGTTAGATTACAGGTACACCAGGCAGGTGAGACAAGCCAGTGAACTGTGTTTCAGTTCAACAGGCTTTAACTCTCCCTGCTCTACATGTGCACCTCTAACTGAAGCCAAGTCTTAATTCAGAGGCTCCTAATCCTTTCCCTCTCCCTTTTTTTCTTGATTTACTCTCGATTCAGATAATTACCTCCAGGTAAGCTGTGTTTACCCTGCATCCCACGAGTATTTCAGCTCCTTATTGGCAGGCCACAGAGAAAGCGAACAGGGTTTTTAACACCTGAGAAACAGGAACAAACACCACTGAGCTGAACGATCCACCCGAGCGAAGTTCAAATGGCTCAGCCTGTTCTAAATCCATCTGTTTATCCACTAAATGAAAACAATCTTACAGCACTCATCCAGTAATTGTGGCAAGCCAGCAACAATATAAACCATCATGTGTCCTCTAAACGGTTGTATTAAAACCTAATTGGCTTAGGCTTACAACCAAAGTGCTTACGGGTGCTCACAGAAACAGCAGGACAGCAGCAGGCTAATGCTGAAAGACAGCAGAGGAGTGCAGTTTCCAGAGGAGTACCTGGAAATACAAGGCAGTTTTCATCCGTTCTCAGGGTACAATTTAAGGAATCATCACCTGTCCCTCCAGCATGTCTCTCTGCAGGCCAGAGCGGTCCTGCTCAGTGCTGTTGGTCCTGCGGATGGACAGGCTGTGGGACTTCCTCTTCTGCTTGGCCTGGCGGGCAGCAGCGCTACTCCCGCTCTCCACTGGCATCCCTCCGTTCAAACTTGATGCAACCACAGACTGAAAGTATAAAATCACAAAAGAGAGGCTGACCGAAGGGCGAAGAGAACATATCCAGTCTTCTTCACTCACTGCAAAGCATCAAGACGAAATCCTAACCACTGCCAAGTACTGCACTTGGCAGTGGTTTTATTTGGCAGCTTCCACGTGTGAATGTGTGAAATGACAAAGTGAATGAGTGTGAAACAGAGTGTTGCTCAGCGAGCACGCTTAATAAATCCCACTGGGATAGAAACTGAGAAGCTAACAACCACATCACAACCTTTTCTTTCAGCTCCAGAAACTGAAAACTGTCTGTGTTCAATATTTTGTTAGAAGAAGCTGAAATGTTCCAGTGAGAGACGAGCAATATTTGGAAGAAAAAAAAAAGATTATGGTTCCACAACAGCCAAAAGCTCATTCAATAATTAGACATGTAGATTTGCTACGTTCACTAATAGAAATGTTCTCACTTTATGCAAGAAACGGCTGCACATGCAATATATGAAAAAAAAAACCCTCTGAAATATTCAGTCTTTTTAACTTCATTCTGGAAACAAATAATACATTTGTAAAATGGATGAAGCAACAGGCAGAGAGGTTTTTGGAGAAACAAAATAATTGTTTCCAGATTACAAAGATATATTACTGTAATAAAATCATGTCTCAGGTAACATTAACCCTTCGTTTATTTATTACAACATTAATCTTCATGACAAAATACAGAGAAAATTACATTGATTGGACCTTTTGGCAGGCCTGCTCTGGCCCGGATTGTTCAAACCAATCTGCATAGTGCCACACCCACTTTTCTCTACCCAAGGAAACCAGTTTACCTGTAAGCTTACCAGAAAGGAAGCAGTTAAAGTTTTATTTTAAAAAAAGAAAACAGAAGGTCTACAATATTAAATCTAAAAAAGCATCAGAATTTCCAACAGAGGAAACTGAAATAACAGCACCAGAGAAGGACGCCAGAGACGGCAGAACACTCAAAAGTCTTTTCTCTGGAGTGACAACAGTTTAAATGTTTTAAATAGGGTTACTTATGGCTCTGAGATGCAATTACATGAAATCTGCAAGTAAAAAAAGAAAGAAAGAAAAAGAAAAGGTCTCATGTCAAATTTAGTGTAATAAATAGAAGAATGGACAAAAGAGGAAAAGAAGGACGAGGAGTTGTTGATCTGTGAGCCCAGGCCTCAGGTACAAACCTCTGAAGTACATAAAGTTGAGTCAAAATGTCAAACATTTTAATTTGCATTATAAGAGAACTTCAGTAAAGTTAATTTATACCTAATCCAAGCATAATTATCTGTGGCTACAATAACAGAGTCACTGATGAACTGCAAAGTCCTTAACCCAACACTGGATTAATTATGATACTGTCATTTGAGCAATTTTAACCCAATATTAATTTTTCTTTTAATATCACCGTTAATGCCAATACCAGTTTATCATGGCACAAGTGGCCAGAAAATCAGTGTTTTTAGATGATTTTATACTTGGGCATTTTTTTTAAAAACACATATTTTACCCAAGGAACAGAACTTTATGGAGTTGACATCCACCCACTCGTGTCTCCTTATGAGGGTGGGCCAGGTCAGTCATTTTAAGGGCTGTAACTAAAATGAATGCAACATTTTTCATGACTTCATTAAATGTTCTAAAGATACAGGAGAGAGAAGAAGAAAAAAATCAGGTGGGCAGCACTCACTGACTCGTTATTGTCATTTCATAAATCAGTGAGAGAGAAAAGAATATTTTCCTCTTTGAAGTGTTCAGGTTGGCGTTTAACTTGTTTATCATGAATCATAACTACAAAACAAAATCCCACACCATGATAGAAGCGGATGATCAACATCCTGCCCACTCCTACCTGTTATGCAGCTGAATAATTTCTAAGATGTTAAAAGAAAGCCTGCTGATCATACATTCATCAGGACCCATCACTTGAGATGTATGTATTTTAAAATAATCTAAATATTACGAATGACAAGTTACTTACCCCATCTGACTTACACAAAAAGCCTGTGTGTGTGTTTTGCTCCAGGAACATTACTGAGGTTTGAGTAATGTTTACACTTCACTGCTTACTGCCAGAAACAGATTATCAGAAGTCGGCTGAGGTGATAAGAACGCCAGGTTGCGTTGGATGACTTTACCCTTTCTACCGAGAAAAGAGGTCTGGCCCCTGTGTGCCAACCAACAGTCATCGTCGACCTCTTAATTTTATTTTTTTCGGTTTTAAGTTTCGTTGGATTTATGAACCAAAACTACTCAGCTATATTTAACCAACAAAACAGTTGGATTCGGTTCAGGAAAGGACAGTAATTTAGGTTCAACTACACAGAGAAACACGAAAGGAAGATTAATTTTTGGATGTTCAAATCAGTCTTCACACACATCTGAGCCTGGTGTGTGTTACATTTGTCCTTGAGTTGACACAAAGGTGTCTGGATACTAAAACATGCAAATAAGATGCGTTTTTAAATCACCAGTCAGGCTGAAACTATCACAGACATCAGAGAGTCGTCTATCCGTTACTGCCCGTTTCTGAGGAATAAAACCAGCCTTGTTTAGCTGTCTGGTGCCTAGTTCCTCCTGCTGACTGTCACTGGTGTAAGCGCAAAGAAAACAGCGCTAAGGTCACATTATCTTGCATTACATTTGGATAAAATGTTTTTTATTTAAAAAAATAGCATTTAAGGTTTTAAAAAGAACGAAAATACCTGGGGAAAAAAGTGGACCTTAACATTAGCAGTTCTAGACAATTTAAAGCGGCGATGCCCAGCTTAGCCAAGCTAACGTTTCCCCGATTAGCTGGTGCTGCCAGACATGCTAACGGGCTAACGGTGAAAATAACCTGCTCAAACATGGAGGCCAACTCACCAGAAAGTCTACAAATACTCGTTTTTATTTCGGGAGTGGATGGGAACTGATGTCGTCGCTAACATTTTCTTCAAGGTCTGAGAATGCTGCGCAGGTTTTGTCCAAAATCCGCGTTGACAGCAGACGGGTACCGTTACGCGAGAAAAGATAACGAAGCCAATTCCGGTCCGAGGTTTTTTCGCAATAAAAGCCTACGCCGGTCACAGCAAAACTCCATCCAGACTTTGTTAGTTTCTTGTTTTCTTGATTGTCGCCACATAAAAACAAACTACAGTCTAAATTTATGGAGCTTTTACAAATAAATTACATGTTTTTGTAAATTTGGCTTCATGAAAATTAAATTAGGGCATGAAGCCATTTCAGAGATATAATAAAAGCACTAAAAGCGGTTTTAAATGTAAACCGTGTAAATGCTTTCTAATAATGGACATAATGAACAGGGTCTAGGAAAAGGTCCAAGCTCTAAAACCAGGTCTTAAATATCCCAGAAAACATACATCCGTAAAATGACAAAAAAACAACAACAAACAAACAAAAACGTGACAGTAATCGACCCCAAATAGACATAATTGTGGTAAAAAGAGATGACAAATAATCACAGCATAGCACAAAGACATGAACAGCTATCACAAGGAGACACAAAACGACCCCAGAGAGAGAATGGGGTAAAAAGAGATGCAAAATGAGCTAAAACTGTAAAATAAAAAAATCAAAATGTACAGTATCAAAAAACAACTGTAGGAAAAGATGCAAAAAGGTCATACAAAAGGATCAAAGAGAGAAAAACAACCGAAATGAGACAGTTACTACCAAAATGTGAACCATCACAACAAAAAGTTGAAAATTAACCATGAAGTTAAACTAAAGAAAAAGAGATGATTGGTAGGACTGTCCATGTTTGTTATGAAAAAAATGAAACATTCAACTAAAAGGGTTTGAAAAACATGTTGGTGTGCATATTTAACACAAGCAAGAAAATGTGTTATTAAAATGTGAAAGTAAGTTTGGACGTAACGTTTCAGTGCAACAAAACTGCACGTTTGGTGCTGCAAAACTGGCATAACTGTTGCACAACTGAGACAATTATCACCAGTATTTTCAAATCAGGAATATAAAAACACAATAAGGTTGTGTCACCACCTTGTCTCTTTAAGATAAAATCACTCCATAGAGAAAAATAGGACACCTGAGATATTTTAGTTCCGATGTGTTTATTTGGCTCCCGTGTTAATATTTCTCAAGAAGAGACTCTAAAGGAAGCATCATCATCACTTTATCCAAAGTAGAGCCACATACGAGCTGTAAGGCAAAAGGTTTCACTTTACTGATACTGCCAAGAAGAAACCTGACACTGAATACAAATCAGCCTCACACATGAACTACTGCAGTAACACAGTAAGACATTAACCACTACAAAGTCTCTGCCATTCAATATAGTTATGTTTTCATTACAGCTGAGCTTCACTTCCATGAGCAAATGCTTGAGCTGAAAATTGGTATTAATATAATCACTAATCATGTAAATGGTTCCCCGGCAATGGTGCCAGCAGAGTGTCCAGGTGTCAACAGTCCAGGAAAAGCAGTTTTATCTGCGATCTGTGGTGCCCGACTTCCTCTTCCCAGCCAGGAGGTGTTTGGGTTTGAGGTCAAACACGTGTCTGTCTGCCTCTCCCTTCTTGCCCTGGCGGTTCATGTCTTTCTGGGATTTCTTCATCATCTTCTTTGTCTTCTTCGCCATCTGATGAACAAACGGACAAAGCCAGCGGTCAGTTTACAGAACGAGGGACTCACTTCATGCATCTATTACATTTTGAACCCCAGACTAGTTACTGCATGTAATCCACTCCTTCCTGTGATTCAACTGTCACTAATGAAAGCAAAAAGACACCTTCAAAAAAAATTAAAATCACACTTGATGCTTTTTAAGAGCTAAAAAATAAGAACAATGAAATTGTATTTTTAACCTTTATAAATAAGCTGCAACTACAAGTAACGTATAAAACTGCTGATAAATGCAGTAATTCCTGCACACGACAATATGCAGTTTAAGTGAATCCTTGTTGGTCAGACAAAAAAAGGAATTCAAAGGTAATCAGGTATTTAGGGTTTCTGCTAGTTTACTGACAGCGCTGCAGTCAGCTCAGCCTAAACTGACCCTCTGAGATTAAACATCAGCGAGTAACATTTAGGATCAACTCTTTCTTTGCAGAAGGAAACTGGATTAAAGGTAAGCTGGCAAAGACTTCAGTTATTTCAGTATTGGCCACTTTGTGATTAATTGTGTGAAACAACTCATGTTTGCAGATCTCTGATGTGTCCGCCTTTTCATAAAACCTAAAGGACTAATAAGCGAGTCGATCACAGAGCAGATTTTAGTTAAAAGCTGAGCAATGCCACAGCCTCGTACCTTTGCATCTCGTAAACCAGACTGGTCTCGGGGTGGACGGGAGGCGCTCTGGCTGCGGGTTCGGGACGTCGGAGGGGCCGAAGCTTCACGCTTACGCTTCTTAGCGACGCTGCGGGAGCGTCTGGCCTGCTGCGCGTAGTGACTCTGAAAGTACACGACAGGAAACACTTAAGACACAAACATCTCCAAAGATTCACTCATCAAGAACCAGTATGAACAAGAACATGAGACCACATCAACACCATCAACACCGAAGAAACACGTAACCACGGAAACATGAATGAGTTTACAAACTCTTCAATAATGAAAATAAAACAAATAAATCTCAAAACAACCAAACTAATTAAAGAAAATATAAATAAAAGGACACATATTTACCAAAATAAAATGAGTTCAAAGAAGATCATACTGAAACAAACGTTTCACTGTAACTATTCAAAAACCCTTATATTAAAACTCCAACAGTCCACGCACCAAACCCAGCAAGATTTTAATCCTTTATTATTAGCAATAAACAAAATAATATAAAAACCTAGCCTCATTCCACGCCCCAGTTTGACAACTTTTTACTATTAAACCACATAGTAAAAGGTTGCCTCTTTTTTATTTGTTACCGTGGGCACCATTGTAATTATAACTTAATATCATTATCATTAATTCAGCTACATACATCCTGTAGGCGCCGATTTCAAATCAGAACTTACATCGTCCTTGTCGTCCATGTCCAGACCGAGGTTACCCATCTCCTTCTCGAGCCGCTTCCTTTCAACCTGAACATATCAGAACAAACACAAACATGAGCTCAGACATCCGTGTGAAACGCAGGTTCAAAAGACAAAAGACAGTCAAAGAACTAAAGGAGTCACCAGCTTGAAGCTTGACGGAGTAACTCTGGGTAAAAAGCTCCACTAGGTGGAGCCTTCAAAATTTGTCCTGAAAGCGGTTCGTTTTCCTTTTTCTTTCTTAAACCTGGCTAAATCACCATGGTAACTGATGATGAGCACATAACCTGGTTTCCATGAATGCCACGTTTCCACTGATTCTTTTTTCCCCTGATGTTTTGAGTGCAGTGTCGATTACTGAGGGAATATGCTTCATACGTGCCCGTTTCAAGACATACCAGCTATAAGGATCCAGCAGCTCAGCCTGTGTGCACGCTGTCCCTACATATGTTCAGCCAACGATGTGACGTCTTTATACTTGATTCTAATCTGCTGATTCTCACCTGCTGTCAAGTCTCTTATTCTGCTGGAAGTGCAGCAAATTTTCCATGTTCGAAAAACAGGAATAGCGACCAGCAGAGGTGAGGTGATGAGTAGGAACGCATTCATAATTCTTTCACCTATTTGTCAGCACTTGATACAGTTTAAGCTCTCAGATGTTTGTTGACATCAAAGAAATTAAACACCAACAGGTATTAAAGAATAGGGGGAAAAATCTGCTATGTCGGCATATATTTTTATTATGTTTGGAACAGTCAATATAAAGTATTTGAAGGCAGCTGTACTTAAATTTGACCCACATCTCAACTCCAGCAGGGTGACGGTGAGTAGCTTAAACTGAGCCCTGCTCACCTTGGTGGCGGTCCTGGGCATGCGAGGTCCATGCACATCCTTTTCTTTCGACTCCAGGACCTTGAGTTGCTTCTTTTCGCGGATCTGTTTGGCAAGAATGCGGATCTCTTGCATCTCCTCGTCCTCGCTCTCTTCGTCGGAATCGTACTCCCCGGCTCGCTCCTTCAGCTCCTCCTCCTTCTCCAGCTCCTCCAGTTTCTGTGAGGGTCGAGAGAAAAACAAACACGCATTTAGAGGACAGAGTTTAGAGGGCAGAAACACATTTGACAAATGCCTTATTCCTCTTTTTCTTCATTAAGCCTTTCTGAGAGCATCCTGGAGATAAATGCATTACATTCATGCTGAAGGCCTCAGTGGTTCAGTTGTTATCATTAAAAGCTCAGAATAGGTTATATTTCTTTAGTTGTTCACATTATCTTCTACATTTTGGAATATCAGTGTGGTAAACAACAGCACGAGTAGCTCAGGAGTAAATATAGAGGTATGCATTACAGTTATAGAGATTAGTGTCCTCTGCTCGTGTAGCAGAAAACAAAAGCACAGAGGAACCGTAGATGACAGAAATGAACCCAGTCACTATTAATCATAAAGGATCTTGTGGTTTTCATTGTTTAACAGTTTGTGCCCTTTGTTTCTTGGCATGGCGGAAGGACCAGTTAAGGGAAGTAGGTTTCCCCAGATTAATCTGGAGGCTGTTACGTTTTTAATGTGAACTTCTCCTTTGTGGAAGAACACAAACACAGATGTAAACAGCAGGTAACCACAGCCGTTCATTTTATACGACGCTCTAGCCTGCTCAGAGGAAGCGTTCACAGTTGGTGTCCTTGTTTGCACACAGATGTCTGCAGAATCTCAGCAATGTGAACCTTTGCAGGCCTTCGTGCACATGCAAAAGCAGACGCTCACCTTCATGATGCCGGGATCAATGAAATCTGCGATGTTGTGGCCCTCCCACACTTCAGGAATCTTATCACGCTTCTCATCCTCGTTCATTAGATCCCAGTATTCTAAAAAAAAAAAAAAAGAACGGCAATGAATAGATGGTCTGAAATGTCACAGCAGCAGCTCCGTTATTAAAGGGAAGCAGTTCTTACTCTGAAGGTCCAGAATGTAGTCATCACCCAGCTCCAACTCCAGATCTCTCTCCTGTAAGAAGAACAGTAAACATTTTACAAACAGCCGCACAGAGAGAATTAAACTCAGCAGAGGAAGAAAAACTCATTATTACTCATTTTTTTGCTATTTAGAGTCAAAGAAAGATTATTGTCTCCGGGTTCTGTAAAATAAGCTAAATATACAATGAAATTAAAGTAAAGAGCTTAAGTAAATGCTTGCCGTCTCTTTTGCTATAAGCCTGAAGTTCCCACCACACCTACCAGTTTGCGTTTGGGTGCGTCCACCTCCATCGCTTTCCTGCGCATCATGGCTCCCTCTGGGATGAACGGAGGCCTCTCCTGAAAACATGAACAGGTTTAACCTTTAACAAATGTAAGAAAAAAAAGCAAAAGTCTTAAGAGTGCCATTCAAGAGCTGATTGACTGACCTTCTCATCCCTCTTGGCGGGCATGGCCAGGTGCAGCCGGTTGAGAACATCGTGGACCTTCTTGCCCTTCATCTTGGTGTTGACGCGATGAGCGAGGAGCTGGTCGCACGCCTGAAAGAAAGATGGCAGCCGCGGTGAGATCAAATACTTGACACGCTCCGGGACCAGAGCGAGCCCGAGTCGGCTGTTTCTCACCTCGGTTTTAACCTGCATGACGCCCTCCTCTGTCAGGGTGCTGGTCTCGATGACGGGGATTCCCTCTGCAGACAGGTCTGCAAAGATTTTCTGACAACAAAGAGGACATTTAACGCGTTAAGCAAATTCTTAAACACATCCTACACATTCCTGTCTTTGAGATGTGCAACCTGTAAACCACCCACCTGGTTCTCCTCAGACAGCTCGCTGATCTTCTTCACGTCACATTTGTTTGCCACAATGATGAGAGGCTGCGGGGTACAAAAACAATCACCACCAGTGTGAGTGCTAAAAAAAGTCAATTAAACCTGAAAACCCACCAGACCCCCTCAAGATCAGATGTTCTTTTTTCTACAGTAACTTTTGCATATTTGAGCCATGAGAAATTTTAACTTGATAGGAAATGTTTCAGAGCTAGATGTCCTCAAAGTAAATAAGGGTAGGTCAAATTTGGCGCTTTTAAAATATGTGGTATTTTTTCCCAGCATCAGTACAGGTTCAAATCAGGTTCAAATACATGTTTAAACAACCAACATTTTTGTAAATCCACCCAAAGTGTCTCTTAGCAAAGTCTCACTTCACTCCCTTTACAACTTGGGGCAGTTTTCTTGTGGCATACGACAGCACACACTTCACTAAACACAATCAGGAGACCGACGCTTGTGTTTACGGCTGGATCGCACTCAGACCCTCCACTGATCCTTAAACTCTCCCTATTCAAGAGGAAAAACTTGTCTACACCACCAATATTAGACCCATCCCTGCTTACTAACTCGTAAAATATTCATAGTATGACGGACATTTTTGCGTGACTGCTTAGACTGAAGTTCTTGTAGATAACGAATCAGCTGATTTTGAGGGGGTCCAGTGGGTGAATTTGCAGGGACTGACTCATCTGCAGAGCAGTTATGATATGCTGCCGTCTGACCTTGTTGGCGAACAGGGGTCGGATGCTGTTGAAGAGCTCCAGCTGCTCCTGCAGGGTGTGACCGCACTGCTCAGAAACATCCATGACGTAAAGAACCGCCGCCCTGAGGTGAGCCAGAGCCGTGATGGCTTGCATCTCGATGGTGTTCCTCTCCTCCAGAGGGTGGTCAAGGATCCCGGGGGTGTCCACCACCTACACACAAACACACAGTTAGCATCTGACTAACAACAGGAGGTGGTAGCTTACTAAAACGGTCTTAGGTCAGCCTGTCTCACAATCCACCTTCAGGAGAAAACAGCTCCCGCTCCTCCTTTAGAGTGAGGGGAAAGCACCTATGCTAGATTTATCAGGATGCATTTCAAGATGTTTAGTTTGAGCTTAAGTGAACTCTGTTAGGGAAACTGCTTTTAAACCTGAGACAAAACACTGTGGCCGTTTTTGTTTTCCTCAAAATCCAAGCAAAAAAATAAGAAACTCCTGAAGTCCTGAATGCCCTTCCTGCAGGAGTCACATTTATTTTCACAAGATTTCCAAAACTATAACCTAAAACAGATAAAACTAAATGCTGATTTCTACCATGTTTATTTTTCCTGGGATTGTGTGGTCTCGTGAAGTTGTCCAGACTCTCAGCCAACTTTAAGCACATACATAGTATCATTTGGTACAGGCAAATCTCAGCAATAATGATCGTAAGGCTAATAAAAGAAAAACAGCTTTCATATAAATCAAACACAAACAGGAAGAATTTCAGCAGCTCTGCAGGTAAAGAGTTAAGATCACCAATCCCATGTTTAGTTAGACTATCAGTACAAAAGCTGCTCTATTCTGCCCCAGCGTTGCTTATGAGGGGCAGCCTATAAGATGACAGCTGGCTTAAAGGAAGGGAAATCAGGATAAAGTGGCTTGTTTCAGTGAGTGGATGAACTCAACCATGCAAAGCCATTCAAAGTGAGTCCAAGAAAACAATGTGTACTGAAACAAGTGCAAAGCTTTCCTTTTAAACCTCATTTTCACATGCTTTACGTCCACTGTCCTGGAGTTCATTTTTACCAATGAGATGATAACCACAGTAAAACTCAGGCGAGCAGGATCATCTCACCTGCCAGCGGAGGTATCTGTAGTCCATGTGACCCACAAACAGAGACTTGGTGGTAAAAGCGTACGGCTGGACGTCAACATCAGCTCTGGTCACCTGACAAGGAAGAAAGCAGTTACACTGTTAGCTACACTGAAAGCAGGCAGATGGAGGCGACTGTTAGTGATTGCAATCTCTGTTCAGTACAAACAGAAAAAGGATTAGGATTCAACTTGTCATTACGCATGTAAATATACAGGGTAACGAAATACAGTCTGAGTCTAATCAGAAGTGCAAGCGCAGTAAGTGCGATAATTTAAGAGCTTAATCAGAATCTTGCTCGTAAAGTTGGCTCAGAGTGGAAATCAATGATCGTGATAAATGTGTCTGGGATTTACCTTGTTGATGAAACTGGACTTGCCCACGTTGGGGTAACCGCACAGAAGCAGGGTCCTCGTGTTTGGGTCGATGCTTGGCAAACGGGACAGATGCTGACGCACTGAAAGACGAGTAAGGGTTACGTATGGAGACAGAAGAAACAGACTGAACTACTCAAACTTTTCAGCTAAAAGGAAAAGTACGATTTTGGACGGACTCAGCTTCTCAATCACAGCCTAAACTCTGCTCACCTTGCTCCAGGTACTCCAGGCTGGATTTCTGCC